AAAGGCAGTACGTTCTTTCTTGATTTTTATTTTTTTAATTTTTTTAATTTTTTATTTTTTTTAATATATTTTATTTATCTTTTTACAGAGAGAAAGGGAGAGAGATAGAGAGCTAGAAACGTCGATGAGAGAGTAACATCGACCAGCTGCCTCTTGCACACCCCCTACCAGGGATGTGCCCGCAACCAATGCACATGCCTTTGACCGGAATCGAACCCGGGACCTTTCAGTCCGCAGACCGACGCTCTATCACTGAGCCAAACCGGTTTCGGCTCTTTCTTGATTTTTAAAAACGATTTTTTAAAATTTGATTTTGAGACAGACAGAGAAACATAGATAGGCTGCCTCCTGCACGCCCCCTGCTGGGGAAGGAGCTCGGAAACTGGCTGACCAGGAATCCAACCAGCAAACCTGCCAGGGCTGTGTCCCTGTCCTTTGCTGAGACTCGCTGCCCCTCCATTTGTCACGGAGCACCCCCCCTCCCCAAGGACCCGGCTCTGCGGAGGGAAACCGCATTACCGGAGAGCGCAGGCCTCCACACCCTCGTTCCCACTCGCCGGCTTCCCTCCGAGGACCCAGAGGCAGGTCAGCGCCCCGCCCTCTAGTTTCCCAAGAGCCTCTCCTCTTTTCAGACGTAGCCACCAGCTATGTCTCCCTTCTTAAAGATAAGCTTTCAAAATAAAGTAATAATACAAACACTTAGAATCTTATAAAACAGCAAAAGCCAACCCCTCTTCCCCAAGCTGCCCGGCCCTTCCTTCCCTGTGGTCCCACGAGGACCCTCTAACGGGTTTGTTTCCTGGCAGCCTGGCTGCGGCCCTGTCCCGTCAGAGGCCCCGAATCCTCCGGCTGTGATGAACATTCCAACCAGCAGGTTCTAGGAGACGCAGGCGACCCTGCTCCATGGGACTGCAACCTCATCCAAGCAAAGACCGAGATTTCCCAGATAAGAAGGAATTTCCCTCAATTCCGCAACATGGAACCATGGGCCAGGTTCCCAGCGGGCTGCCTGTGGGATCTGGCATCCAGACTGCAGAGCAGGCCTCCCCTCAGTCTCCGCCCAGCCCGCCCGCCTGCCTGCCCTGCGGACTCCAGCCTGCCCCACAGTCCTGTGAACCTGTCTCTCTCTCTCTCTCCCTCTCTCTTTTCTTCTCCCTCCCTCCCTCCTTCCCTCCCTCCCTCCCTCTCTCTGTGCTATAGATTCTGCTTCTCTAGAGAAATCTGACCTCCCAGATCTGCACTTTGCTCTCCTGGTCAGTAACTGTGAGTTGCGGTTCGGTGTAGCTGTGCAATCAAGCTCTCCCACTGACCCCGGATGGGCAGTGACGGAGCCACCTGCGCGTCTGCCCGTCTCTCATCCTTTCACTCCCATGTCTGCCTTCCAGCCGCACCTCTGAGGCCTGCTGCTCCCTTGGTCTTTCTGCTCCCGTGGCCCTCTGTGCCTCTGGATTTCACCCTGAACTTGCAGAGCTGGCAGCACCACCCTCCGTGGCTTCTCAGCTGCTTTGGGAATATTGCCAACCAGATCCTCTAACAAAGTATAAAGTCCTTCAAATCCCCTCCCCACCCCACCCACACACACAGGGCCAGCTTTCTGGGTTTCAACCCCCCCCCCTTTCCTTTGATAGATGACCACCCAAATAAGAGTGAATTCTGATGGCAGCCTTCATGAGGACAGCACCTGGACCTGCAGAGGGGAAACTTGCTTTGGGCCTGCACCTGGACTGCACCCAGGTCCTCCCACTAAGGGGTGGGGTGTTGTCAACTTTCTGAGCTGGCTTTGTCGTCTACACCAACGATGAGCAAAACAGCTTTGCAGAAATGCACTGACTGAGCTATCTGAGCCGGTCTCCTTCTCTTTCCCAGGGTCACAGTAAGTATTAAAGGAGAAAATAAGTATGGGAGGGCTTTACACTCTGTAAAGCTCTGTCTACACGTTGGCTTTTGTTAGTAATACTTGAATAATCCTATCTAATAAAGAGGGAATATGCTAATTGACCATCACACCCTCACAAAGATGGATGCTCCCACAACCAATAAGGAGGGAATATGCTAATTGACTGTCACATCCTCAAAGATGGCAGAGCCCACAGCCACAAAATGGTGCCCAGTCCCCTCAGCCTTACTGGGGTGGCAGGTGCATGGCATGGTGGAAAAGGGAACAGACGGGTCTGGCCACTCTATGTGCCTGCCTCTAGAGTCCCCCAGTCTCCTCAGTCCCCCACCTGCCCAGGGCCAGCCTGAGGTATAGGCAAACCTCAGGTGGCGGCTGCCCAACTGCCCAGGGTGCCCCAGGCTCAGGGAACCAGGGCCGCCGGTGAGGCTTGTGCTGCTGGAAGTGGCAGCAGCAGAGGTGTGATGGGGGCGTTGCCTTTCCCGGATCGCCAGGTCGCCTCCCCCACTGAGGGATCCCGGACTGTGAGAGGGGGCAGGCTGGGCTGAGGGACCCCCCTCAATTCATGCACTGGGCCTCTAGTGCTAATAATAAAAGCACAGGTAGTTAAGAAGAACAGCTAGATATTTGGGAGGAGGTTTGTCATTGTATAAGCTATGAATTTCATCAAAGGACATCATGACCATGTTTCTAAACAAACTTCAGGAATCATGATTTGTCAAAAGGCATTTGTAGGGGCAGAGATTTTAACAGGAATTGCACCCCAGGCCTGATTTGAGGTGTGTGGTCTGTACACACACACACACACACACACACACACACACACACATGCGTGCTTGCGACCACCCTTGCTCTGCCGCCCGAGCTCTGCAGTGCTGGTCCCAGCTCCTCGTTGCTTCAATCCTTTTCCAATGGACACTGACAGCAAAGGCAGTGGCTGAGGGGGCCCTGGGTTCTGAGCTTGAGGCTGCGTTTCCACGCCAGGGCCAAGCCCCACAACCTCAGTGGCGTTGAGAGGTCACAGAGTGGCTCAGAGGCTGGAAAAGGGACCAGCGTCATTTCTTTCTGCTCGAACCCTGCAAACCGCCCTAACATTGTGCTGGCGGGACAGGATGGACCCTGGGAACGTGACCTCCCTGCTGAGGAAAGAAACGCTCGGCTGTGTGTCCACACGGCCAGTTTCCGCTCGTGAACGTTCCCACGGGCTCCGGCTCTGACTCCCGGCGGCAGGAGGCGCCAGGGGAGCCCTGGGTGTGAGCCGTGCCTGCCGGGAGGGGCCTTTGCTTGGTGGGTCCCGGGCGGTGCCACGGAGAGCCGTGTGGAGTTTACAAAGCAGATGCACACTGTGCGTCTCCTCGACCGTCCTGCCCTTGGTCTGCACAATAATGGAGGCTTAAGAGTGAAGTAACCCCCAAAGTGATGTTCCTGGCACCCCAACCCTCCACTTTCTCTGGAGGTAGGGTCAAAGGGATCCCAGGGCAGTGACCTGCAGCGAAATAGCCAGAAACTCCTGTTTTAGTAGGTACTGGTCTGGAAGAAGGAAGTCCACCCTCTCAGAGAGAGACAGTGAGAGAGAGAGAGAGAGAGAGAGAGAGAGAGAGAGAGAGAGAGAGAGAGAAAGAGAGAGAGAGAGAGAGAGAGGCAGTCCCAGCTGGTTTTGCTCAGTGGATAGAGCTTCTGCTTGGACCATCAAGGACCATACAGAGCCGAAGCCCAGTAGGGGGCAAGCAGGAGGCAGCCAATTGGTGATTCCCTCTCATCACTGATGTTTTTACTTTCCTCTCTCTTATTCTCTGAAATCAATAAAAATATTATTTTTTAAAAAGGAGGAGGGCCCTAACCAGTTTGGCTCAGTGGGTAGAATGTCGGCCTGCAGACTGAGGGGTCCCAGGTTTGATTCAGGTCAAGGGCATGTACCTTGGCTGCAGGCACATTCCCAGTAGGAGTGTTGTATTGTACCCCAAATCTTACAAAGGATGCCTCAGGAAGTCGAGTTACTGAGTCACCTATTAAAGGCCGGCGGCTACGAGGGGCTACATGCTCCAGATCTCGCAGCCCGAAAAGCTCGCCACATCGGCTTATATTGGCAGAATATCAGAAAGGTATCGATAGCATCTTTGGGTTTGGAATGAATGAGGACCCTGGTTTGCACAAAGCACTTACAGAAGTGAAATTGAGCAAGTTAGTTATCTATAAAGGGTAAGTATAGTTTTGGGTCTATGCATTACTGAATCAACAGAAACACATTATCTGGGGCCACTGAGGCAATTTAGAACAACTGTGCTGTCCAGATTCCGGAACCACTGCGTCACCCGGAACGCATTATCTGTAGCCACTGAGACAACTTAGGGTAATTGAGCTGTCCTGGTTCCCAGGTACAGAAGAATGTGCTTTGATAACCAGTGAGATCACAATCAATGGATATCCAAACCACCATCCATGGAGTATTCAATTGATTGGGATAGCATACATAAGTTCAGAAAATAAAAATAACTTTTCTATTGTTTTAGCGAGCAAATAAGTACAGAAGCCATACAGCAGGGTTAAAATATTGAACAGCAATTTTTACCCACCATGGTTGCTACCATGCTTCAGGATGTGTGCAGGAGGCAGCTGATCCATGTTTCTCTCTCATGCTGTTTCTAACTCTCTCTTTTCCTTCCTCTCTGTAAAAAAATCAGTAAAATATATTAAAAAAAAAAAAAAGAGGAGGGGGGGAAAGGGAGGGAGAGAAGAAGAAGGAAGGGGAGGAGAGGGAAGGGAGAGAGAGAAGGAGGAGGCGGGAGAGGAAGGGGAGAAAGAGAAAACGCGTGTAGGCTCACCCCAAACTTCCGGCAAGGCGAGGGCCCCCAACAGTTCCGCAGACCCCGCCCCCGCCCCCGCCCCGCCCCCGCCCCGCCCCCTCCCACCGCGCCCCGCCCTCGCCAGGAGATCCTGCGCTCACGTCCCACCTCGTCCCACCCGCAGGCCCCGCCCACCACAGGCCCCGCCCGCTCAAGAGGCCCCGCCCCTCCGTGGCCTGTCCCGCGCGAGGCTCCGGGGTCGGCTCCCTCACCCCGCACCGGCCTCCGCGCTGCCCGCACCTCGCCCGCCGCCGCCGCCCCGCATGCTGCCCCGCGCCGGCCGGGCCGCACTGCCCCCGCTGCTCCGCTCCCTGCGCCGCGCCGCCGCCATGAGCACCGGCAGCTTCCTCGTTTCGCAGCCGCTCAACTACCGCGGCGGCGCCCGCCTGCAGCCGGCGGACGCCTCGGGCTCCGAGACGGCGTTCGAGCCGGCCACCGGTGAGGGCGAGGGTGCGGGTGCGGGTGAGGGTGAGGGGGTCCGGGGCGCGGGGGGCGGGCGAGCGGGGGAGGCCGTGACCGGAGCCCAGGCCGGGCCGCAGCCGGGTCTCCGCGGGGTGGGTTGGGGGGGGCCCGGATGCTGAGGGCGGGATGCGGGCTGGCAGTGCTGGCGGTGGGTTTTCTTGGGGAGAAAGTGGTAACGTTTGTGCAAAACACAGGCCTGCAGCGCCGCGCCGAGTGGCTCAGGGCGGCCTGGACGCGAACTTGGCCCCTGCGATCGCCCAGGAAGCGCCTCTGTCCCCCTCTGCCCCCCTCTGTCCTCCCTCCCCCAGATTGACGCCCAGCAGGACAGCCCGCGGTTCTGTTACCGTCGGCACCGTGGTCTTACCGCTGCCTGTACCTCTGGCTGTTTGGGAGCGAACCCCAGGAACAGCGCTGCCCCCCCCCCCCTCAGTTAACCATCCCCGTGGGCAGTCACCGCCCCGGGCCTGGGCCGGGAAGTGAGCCTGCTTGGCCCAGAACAGGGTAGGAGTGATGCTGGGGGAGAAGAGGAGAGGCTGGCATTCCTTGTTTTTAGCAATTGAGGGGAAAACCCTCCCTGGCCTTTGGGGTCTCTTTGGCTGGCATTGCTGTTTATTAAGCGTGCTCATCAGTATAACCAGGAGGTGGTTTATATAGAACGTAGACGGGGATTTAAACTCAGCTATTAACTGGGGAGACTGCACTTTGCACCTTGATTTTGCAAGACCTCAGCTTCTCAAACATCGTAAGGAGCATTGCCAAGTAATTGCTAGGAAGTTACCTGCTGTAAACAGCCAGTAAAATACAGGCGGGCAGGGGCTCCTCACGCAAGGTCTGGGTGTGCTCTTGCAATGGCATGATCTCCACAATTATGTCATGTGATTATATTGCTCTGCAGAGAAGTCTGCAACTTTTATTAGATTCTTAAAGCGGCCAGTGACCCCAGGATAGAGTTCAGCACGGCTGCTATAGAGGAGGCCGCAAAGGGAAGCCACCTCTTTAAAGAGGAGAAGGGGTGGTGAAGAGGCAGGTGAATGCACGATGCTTGTGTAGAACAGGTGGGTAACCGGCTCCCGCTCCCCTAGGCCGCGTGATCGCCACTTTCACCTGCTCCGGAGAGAAGGAGGTCCATCTGGCTGTTCAGGATGCCAAGGCCGCCTTCAAAATATGGAGTCAGAAGTCGGGCCTGGAGCGTGGCCGGATCCTCTTGGAGGCCGCCAGGATCATCAGGGTGTGTTTCCCGTCTCCCCTCCCGCAAGAGGGAGAGCTTGCTGTCTGCGCTCCAGGGCACTGCCCCCGGGTGGTGTGTGAGGACTTTGGTCCACTGTTAGGTTACGGCTTGTTTGTGGAACCGGAAAGCACTTCCACCTGCTCACCTGGGCGTGTGCAGCAAGCCTCCACAGGAGTTCCCTGTGGAGCTTGGCTCTCTGTGCCGACTCCGGGATGGGTTTCTTTTCCATGTTTGTTTGAATTACAACATGTGCTTTGTAGCTTGTCTCTTTTTCTTTTTAAAATATATTTTATTGATTTTTTACAGAGAGGAAGAGAGAGGGATAGAGAGTTAGAAACATCAATGAGAGAGAAACATCGATCAGCTGCCTCCTGCACCCCCCCCACTGGGATGTGCCAGCCCTTGATCGGAATCGAACCTGGGATCCTTCAGTCTGAAGGCCGACACTCTATCTACTGAGCCAAACTGGTTTCACCTTATTATCTTTCTTTTTCTGGTAAATTTTTTCTAAGAGAGAGAGGAGTGTGGGGAGAGAGAGCAACATTGATTTCTTGTTCCACTTATTTATGCATTCATTGGTTGAATTTTGTATGTGCCCTGACTTGTGATCAAACCCTCAACTTTGGCATAGCGAGGACAGTGCTCTAGCCCACTGAGCTACCCGGCCAGGGCTCTTTAATTCTGTTCACTTGACTCTTCTTACTTTCTCCTCTGATGACCCGAAAATCCCCCAACCTTTTTCAGATTCATTTTTACCATAATTGCCTGGGAAGATTTCATAGATTCATACATGTTCCCCTCTTCAAAAACAGTTAAACTATTTTCCACTTTTACAAAAGCAACCATGCCAGATGCTCGTTATAGTTTTGGTAAAACAATGCTCTTTTCATTTGTTTGATTCATCTTTTATGTACAGACATTGACCCTACTGTTTATTTTATTTTTATTTTTTATTTTTTAAATATGTTTTATTGATTTTTTACAAAGAGGAAGGGAGAGAGAGAGAGCTAGGAATGTCGATGAGATAGAGTCATCGATCAGCTGCCTCTTGCACACCCCCTATCGGGGATGTGCCCACAACTGAGGTACATGCCCTTGACCGGAATCGAACCTGGGACCTTTCAGTCTGCAGGCCGACGCTCTATCCACTGAGCCAAACCGGTTTGGGCCCTACTGTTTATTTTAAATTGGATTCATAATAGTAAGTATCTTTCTCTTACATTTCAGTCCTGTCATCATCGTTGGGAGGGAGAAAGGCATTCCTCAGATTTTCTTTTTAGGTGTAATTTTCCAAATGTCGCCATTCATCCCTGAGCATCCAGATACAACTGGAAAAGGTGTTTGAAAAGAGAATTAGTGAGTTCTGAGCATTAGAAAATAACACAACATTTCTTCTTTTTTTTACATATATAATTTTTTTCCAGATGAGAGAGAATCATTGATCGGCTGCCTGCTGCACGCCTCACACTGGGGATTGAGCCCCCAACCACGGGCATGTGCCCTGACCAGGAATCGAGCCATGACCTCTTGGTTCATAGGTCAGTGCTCATCTACTGAGCCACACTGGCCGGGCAACGCTGCATTTCTTTTGGGGAATTAAAGCCTTGTATGCTTATATCCTCTTCAGTAGTCGGCTATTTTGCATAACTTCTCTAAGGACTGTTCTCTCCTGTATATATACAAACATACATATGTATTCATACATGTATGCATATATAATATTCACTTTTCGGAGCATTCTTTTTCTAAATGATCTTGAAATGGGTTATTGGTCTTGGATGGGAGAACAGGGCTCCTGTTCAGCAAGAAGCTTTTCTTTGTTTGTTTTGTTTTTCATTCTCATCAGGATAAATCTTTCCATGATCTTTAGAGAGAGTGGAAGGGAGAGGGAGAGTCAGAGAGAGAAACATAGATGTGAGAGAGACACATTGATCGGTTGCCTTTCACACACTCTCTGATTGGGGCTGGGGATCAAGCCTACAACCAAGGTACCTGCCCTTGACTGGAATCGAACCCAGGATCCTCAGTCCTCAGGCTGAGCCAAACTGGCTGGGGCTCAACAATAAGCTTTTATCTCTCTTCCCAGTGTAAGACTGCCATTCCTTTTCTTTTCATTTAAATAAAAGTTGTTTCACCCTGGCCCCTATGGCTCAGTTGGTTGAGCATCGTCCTGTCCACCAGATGTCACCAGTTTGATTTCCGGTCACGGCCCAGGTTTTGGGCTCAGTCTCCAGTAGGGGGCATGTAGGAGACAGTAATCGATGTTTCTCTTTCATTGATGTTTCTGTCTCTCCCTCAAGCTCTAAAATCAACGAAAACATTAAAAAAAAAAAAAAATTTGGAGTGGTTGCGTCAGTGAAATCTGAACAAATGTAACATTACAAAAAGAAGGTTTTATTTTTTAAAACTGGGCCCTGTATTTGGTCTGGGTGTTGACTGCTGTGCAGTTTGGTAATGTGTCTTAAATCTAGTCTCTGCCGCCCACAGGAGCGGAAGGAGGAAATCGCCACCTTGGAGACCATCAACAACGGCAAGTCCATCCTGGAGGCCCGCCTGGACATCGACACCTCCTGGCAGTGCCTGGAGTACTACGCGGGCCTGGCGGGGTCCTTGGCCGGTAAGCCTCCCGCCAGCCTTCCTCCCTGAGCTGTGGAGGGAGAGGGCAGAGCCGAGGTGAAGGGCAAAGATTTCAGGGTGAGACCGCTTGGTTCTCCTCACTTCATGCCACCTGATTCGGAGGAGGGAGCGAAGTGGGGTGACGTGGGGTGAATGTGGGGTGAATGTGGATGCTGTGTGGAGGATTGCAGGAGAGAGGAGGGGACAGGGGACAGGAGCGTGCAGGGGGCATCGTGTGCTGCGAGCAGCCGGAGGAGGTGGGGCCCCAGGAAGCACAGGTGTTGGGCCTGGGGGCAGCAGACCTCCCCTCTGCTCCTGTCTCCCCCCAGGCGAGCACATCCAGCTCCCCGGCGGGTCCTTCGGTTACACCAGACGAGAGCCGCTGGGCGTGTGCGTGGGCATCGGAGCCTGGAACTACCCCTTCCAGATCGCCTCCTGGAAGTCGGCCCCCGCCTTGGCTTGTGGTAAGAGAGTTGTTCCTCCATTGGGTGTGGGAGTGGGGTCCGCTGTGCGCCTCTCCCCTCACCTCTGCGTGCCTCTCCCCTCACCTCTGTGCGCTTCTCCCCTCACCTCTGCGTGCACACTCTCACTCATACACGCACTCACACTCACACTCACACACATATTTACACAAACTCACAACCACACGCACACATACACACTAACACACACTCGCATACTCACTTTCACACTCACACACACACACTTTACACACGCACACTCATACACACTCACTCATACTCATATACTCACACTCATATTTACACCCACACACATACACACACTCATTCATGCTCACACTCACATACTCATACACTCACACTCATATATTTACACCTCCCCCACACTCACACATATTTACACTCACACACACATACACACACACTAATACACATATTTAAACCCACACACATACACACACACACACACACACACACTCTAACACATATTTACACCCACACGCACACTCACACACACACACACTCACACTCACACATATTTACACTCACACACACACTCACACACACACACTCACACACTCACACACACACTCCCCATCAGAAGGGCCGTGCGGGGCATGCAGAGCCTCAGAGGGCACGTGTCCATTTCCGCCGGCCAGAGGGAGTCTGCATGTATGATGCGCACAGATCGTGTCTTTGTTTTCGCTGCTCGTGTTCGTCTCATTCGTTTCTGCTCAAGAGGAAGGGAGTGTGGTCTGAGAGGTCCTGTTGTCACTGTCAGATTGGATGAGATTTGTGTTCCCGGTAAGTTTCCTCTTTCTGGCCATGACTTTCTGCGCAGGGGAGCACTTAGGAATCTGACTGAGGAAGCAGGAGATTGCCTGGCTGGCATGGGTCAGTGGTTAGAGAATCAGCCTGCAGACCGAAGGGTCCTGGGTTCGAATTCCAGTCAAGGGAACATGCCTTGTTGCGGATCAATCCCTGGCCCTGATTGGGGCATGTTTGGGAGGCAGCCAATGGATGTGCCTCTCACATCGATGTTTCATTCTCTCTCTCTCTCTCTCTTTCTCTCTTTCCCTCTTTCGACCCCTTTTTCTTCTTCCCCCTTTCTCTCCTCCCCTCCTTCCTCCCTTCCACTCAATGGAAAAAATGTCCTCCCGTGAGGATTTAAAAAAAACCCCAAAAACTTAAAAAATAAGGAAGCAGAAGATAAACTTCCTCCTCCATTTGTGTGAAGAGAAATGACACCTAAAGCCCCCATCACAGAAGCTTAGGCTGACGGACCACTTACAGGGGCCGCGGGGAGAGAAGACCCAGGACAGCTGGAGGTGGGAGGGGGCATGTGGAGGCGCAGCCGCTTGCTTGCTGCCCGCCGCGTCCTGTTGGCGGAGGGACGGAGGAGAGCTAGATGCCGTCCTGGTTCGGACCGTCAGGGCCGTTAACCTTCCTCCAGTCTCACCTGTGGAAGGGAGTAGGCCTGCCTGCTGCTCCCCAGTGCAGGGGTCAGGTGAGGCGGTGCCGGCCAGAGACCTGGACACGCAGAGGGGCTGCTGGGGCGGCCCGAGCGGGGTGTGGTCTGGTTAATGAGCGAGACCGGGGGAGGGCGAGATCCTGTCTGGAGGGGACCCCTACCGAGTCTTCTGTGTGCTGGGCCTGCGCAGGAAACGCCATGGTCTTCAAGCCGTCCCCCTTCACGCCGCTGTCTGCGCTGCTGCTGGCCGAGATCTACACGGAGGCGGGGGTGCCCCCCGGCCTCTTCAACGTGGTGCAGGGCGGCGCCGCCACCGGCCAGCTGCTGTGCGAGCACCGCGACGTGGCCAAGGTCTCCTTCACCGGGAGCGTGCCCACCGGCACCAAGGTGAGGCCAGCGGTCAGGGTGAGGCGATGGCATCCACTGTGGGAGTGGCCACCGAGCCTGCGCGTGCCGGAGGGAGGCCCTGGGTGTCACCCACGGGGGTTCACGCGGGCGGATGGGCGCCTCCAGCCTGCTGCCTGGCAGCTGGGCCCACGGGGCAGTCTGAGGACTTCCCTCGCCGCGGCCACCTCGGAGGGAAGGTGCCTCCCAGTCCATTTCACACTCATTGTTCTGGCCTCGATCTGCGCTCGGAGCTGTCAGCCTGAGCACAGTGACAGTGAACAGAGTTTCTGCCGGTGCAGTCAGTGCGCAGACAGGTTTTTTAAAGTGAGTTCCCTCCTAATTGGAGAACATCATGCTGAATGAAATAAGCCAGTCAATGAAAGAGAAACACCACATGACCTCACTCATTTATGGATAATAAAGAACATTATAAACTGATGAACTAAAAGATAGATATAGAGACAGTAAAGCAACAAGCAGACTGTCAAATTACAGCAGGGAAGGTAGGGAGATGTGGGGGAGATAAGAGATCAACCGAAGGACTTGTATACATGCATAGAAGTACAACCAATGGACACAAAACTCTGTGGGGAGAGGGTATGTATGGGAAGTGGGGGGGCAATGGTAAGATATGTACACAGATAATAATTTAATAAAAAAAAAATACTCCTGAGGTGTCGGGGCGCCTCTGGCTTCGGAGCCCGGAGAGGGAGGCTAAGTGAGGAGCAGGGCGTGCGGAGGCAGGGCTGCAGAGCCCGCTGCCTCTGGAGGTCGGGGTCTGTCACCCGGCGTGCGACTTCCTTGTCAGACCCCTGACGGTGGTCGTTCTTGTCCCCCAAGATCATGGAGATGTCGGCGAAAGGAATCAAACCTGTCACCTTGGAACTCGGAGGCAAGTCTCCCCTGATCATCTTCGCAGACTGCCACCTGGAGAACGCGGTGAAGGGGGCGATGATGGCCAACTTCCTCACGCAGGGCGAGGTGCGTGTGCCGGGAGCGGCCGGAACGGCGTGTCTTAAAGAGGCTCTTTACGGGGAAATGGTTTCCGACGTAGAGGAGGGTTGTTCATCGTACAGAGAATTCACATGCTCCTGGGAGCCAGGCTCCTCCAAGGTCTACATTTCATTATGCTCACTTAAAACAACTATTATATGTTTTTATTGATTTAAGAGTGAGGGAGAGAGAAAGAGAGAAACATCAATGATAACAGTCATGGGTTGGCTGCCTCCTGCGCGCCCCACACTGGGGATCAAGCCTGCAACCTGGACACCTGCCTGGACTGGCAATGGAACCGTGATGTCCTAGTTCATAGGTCGACGCTCAACCACTGAGCCACGCCAGCCGGGAAGCCTCTCTACATCTTGTAGCTCACTTTCTGCTGTGAGAGAGCTTTCCCAGCCCCGTTTTTCTTTTTCTTTTTCTTTTTTAAAAAAAATATATTGTATTGATTTTTTTTTTACAGAGAGGAAGGGAGAGAGAGAGAGAGTTAGAAACATTGATGAGAGAGAGTCATCGATCAGCTGCCTCTTGCACATCCCCTTCTGGGGATATGCCCGCAACCAAGGTACATGCCCTTGACAGGAATCGAACCCGGGGCCCTTCAGTCCCCAAGCCGACGCTCTATCCATTGAGCCAAACCGGTTTTGGCCCGGACCCATTTTTCATTCCTTATCTCTGTCAGCCTGACCCACGCATCCTACGTCCTTCTGTGCGTTACCACCCAGTATTTATTTTGATGCTCAAATGATTGCGACTCTCTTTTTTATTTTTTTAAAAATATGTTTTATTGGCCGAAACTGGTTTGGCTCAGTAGATAGAGTGTGTCTGCCTGCGAATTGAAAGGTCCCAGGTTCGATTTCGGTCAAGGGCATGTACCTTGGTTGCGGGCACATCCCCAGTAGGGGGTGTGCAGGAGGCAGCTGATCGATGATTATCTTCATCATTGATGTTTCTAGATCTCTCCCTTCCTCTGTAAAAAATCAATAAAATATATTAAAAAAATATATATATATATTATTGATTTTTACAGAGAGAAAGGGAGAGAGATAGTTAGAAACATTGATCAGCTGCCTCCTGCACACTCCCTACTGGGGATGTGTCTGCAACCAAGGTACATGCCCTTGATCAGAATCAAACCCCGGCCCTTGAGTCCACAGGCCCACGCACTATCCTCTGAGCCAAACTGGCCAGGGCGGGACCCCTCTCTTGACCTTTGGATACGTCTTCATGGTCTGAGCACTTGACCTCCTGGCACAGCAGGTGCTCTGGACGCGTGCTCTTCCCCTGGCCGAGCTCTGCAGCACCTCGCTCCGGGGCCCTGGGCCAGGTCAGTGGTGAATGGTGTTTAGAAACCAAGATCTGGTGCAGGTGGACTCCTTACTGGTGCCACTGCCTCCAGACCCTCCTGGAGGCCAGAGAAAGGAATAGATGTTGGCATGTGTGTGTGTACTTTCATGCAGCACGCACATACATGTGCACACACATGTGTTTCTGCATGCATCTGTGTTAATGACCACACGTTCATACACATATTTCCACTCATTCCAATACCGCAGGGTTGTGCTGCCTTCGCCCTTCCCTGTTTATAGCTCTCCTGGAATACGCTGGTAGTACTTCCAGGTTTGGGGAAGTAAGTCTTCCAGCAGGAGTTCAAACCTTTCACAGCTCCTGTCCTTAGCCTGAGGGCATAAAGCTGAGAGCTGATTGGGCGGTTCTTCCTTCTCTCCGCCCACATTGTGGCTGTGATACTCATTTTAAGTAACAAGTTCACAACTTCTGTCTTATTTCATTTTGAGATTTATTTCCCCCTTTCTTGCTGGTGTTAAAAGTTGTGTTTATTGTGATTAGGGGACATGGTAATGGTTCCAAATGGCAGAATTTTACAGAAGCCACACACAGGTGTTGGTGCCCCCATTGCTCCCACCTGGTCCCCTCCTACTCTCCTCCCCAATCCTGTTCCTTCCTTCCCTCCTCCAGGAGGCCACAGGCCCACCTGTTTCACACAGGTGAAAGGTGCTGGCGGGCTTCTTATTCCCCTTCTTCCTGGGCAAGAACAGAAGTTGGCATCTCAGAGGCGCTTCCTTGCGCTTTGCCTTCTCCTCTAACATCCCGGGTCCCTCCGTTTCACGTGGAACTGGCTCTTCTCCCTGTGTTTGCCGCTGCCTCCATAGTCCTTGTGCGAATGTTTCCAATCTTTCCAAAAATCAGGACTTTTTTAAAACACCGCGGGACGCGGGGAAAATTGTTAGAAATCAGGACTGTCCCGCCAACACCTGGACGATCTGGTCACCTTAGTGTACTGGGTTCTTTTTAAGCCTAAACCTATGGGATTTCCCCCCCCCCCCCCTTTTTCTTTTTTTCTTCTTTGCATGCTGATAAATGCTTGTCTCTCTTTCAGGTTTGCTGTAATGGCACAAGAGTGTTCGTGCAAAAGGAAATTCTTGAGAAATTCACAAAGCACGTGGTGGAACAGACCCGGAGGATAAAGATTGGAGACCCCCTTCTGGAGGACACCAGGATGGGCCCCCTCATCAACCGGCTGCACCTGGAGCGAGTCCTCGGGTTTGTGAAAGTGGCCAAGGAGCAGGTGAGGACGGGCGGGGAGCTGGGCTGGGACGGGGGGTGGGGTGGGGGGGGCGGTTTCCCCGCCACCAGGCGCAGGGCCTTCCGGAGGCCGGAGCCCCTCCTGCAGCTCTCGGGTCTGGGCCAGGGTCCTGCTTTGCAGTAGAGTGGCTAAGCCCGCTTGTCTAGGACTGCACGTGGGGGTCGCATGTGTCACGGAAAGTACGCATTCTGTTTTCCTGTTCGGCAGGGGGCTAAGGTGCTGTGTGGGGGAGACCCGTACGTACCCGAAGACCCCAAGCTGAAGAATGGCTTTTTCATGAGACCTTGTGTGTTGGGTATGTCCTCTTCCTGTTTGCTTTTACACAGTTTGAATGAAATAGCAGATAGCAGAGAGCTTCTGTACAGCACGTGCATGGGGACAAGCGAGGGCTGGCACATGTGTGTCAGATTTCGGAAGGGGGAGTTCTCCCTCCGTTGTCGCCGCAGGCCCGGCGCCGCCCCGGGAGCAGGTGTACTTGGCCACCGGGACTCCCGGTCTCTCCCGTTGTTCCGGAAGCGGAGCTCGAGAGAGGAAAGGGCGCACTGGTAAGAAGTATTGAGTTTCACTTGTCAGGACAGGCGGTCAGGATGCATCTTGCTCTGAACTATTTGACATCAATAAAGGAAAACTAGTTTGTCAGGCCACATGGCAGCATTTATGACAGTTGTCTTTTAAGAATTCTTAGCACCTCCTGTCAATCTAAAAGCCTCCGGTCTGGACAGTCAGGTGTAAGTTAGCCTCCTTCCTCGGCCAGTTACCCCGTCCTCGCTCTGGGTGACCCGCCTGGAGGTCGCTGTCCTGTGCTGCTCCTGCGGCTGAGGGCCTGGGTGCATGTCCCGGGAGCTGGGAGTGTTGCCGGCTGGAGATGTTACGTGGTCCCGGCACCTTATCCCGAGGGAGACCCGGCGGGTTTGTCCCCGGGGCGAGGTGGTCTCAGGTTCACCACCTGTTTCACCTGGGCCCTCGCCCGGGAAGGTCCGAGTCTCAGAGCTGCGGCCTGATGATGCCCCGGGGACTCCCGGTGGCTGCTGAGTGACAGGAGCAGTGGCACCTTTCAGATAAAACATATATTTGATCCCAAACCCATTCAAGACCCCGAATGCGCGTGGAACAGGGAGGAGCAGAGTCACCTCATAGTGTGACAGCGGTTCCTCTCCATGCTGGGGCTGATGGTTTCTGTTATGCTTTGTGTGTTGCTGTGTGTTGCAGATTTTATGTATTTATTTATTTAACCCTCACCTGAGCATATTTTTCCATTGAATTTTTTTTGAAGAGAGAGTGAGAGGGAGCGGAGGGAGAGATAGAAACATCGATGTGTGAGAGAGACATCCATCTGCTGCCTCCTGCACACGCCCTACCCAACTGGGGATTGAACCTACAGCCCAGTTACATGCCCTTGACTGGGAATCGAACCCATGACCCTTCAGTACACAGCCTGATGCTTTAACCACTGAGCACCACCAGCCAGGGCTGAGCATCACAGACCTTAATTTTTCATTTACTGAAATTGGGCACTAAAGTCAAGGGAGTCACATTTCTGGCAGGAGCCTTTTGTATGTCAGCTCCCTCATCCATCCTGTCTTCCGACCGAACCCAAGCTGCAGCACACGGAGCAGCATGAGATCAAAGACGTTTTCTGGGACTGTTGCGTAGTAACATTTTGGTAAATGGTTTCCCTGAGGATTACATGTGGATGACTAGTTTTCAGAGAGTTAGGGCATAGTAAATTATGCTTAAGCACCTCCTAAAGATGACTTAATCCCTAAGTATTCGTAAGTCCACATCTTGAGAGACATATTCGCGTCATCTTTGTAGACGTGTGAACAGCTGGTTGTAGACTTGGTCCTACCGAGCTGGTGTTGGCAGGATGTTCTCAAGCTGTTCTCTGGCCTCCACGCTGCTCACTCGTCACACCCCGCAGGCCACGGCTCCCTTCGTGCCGGGACTGCCGTGAGGGGTCTGGCCTCAGGGAGGGGGCAGATGGCACCGCTCTCCAGAATCACCAGGCTCGGTATTCGATGGGTAAATAGATGCACTTCTCTACAGATGCGTGTTGTGAAATTCAAGTGTAAATTATATCATTTTAAAGAATTGTCCTCTTGCCCAGCCAGTGTTGCTCAGTGGTTTGAGCTTTGACCTAGGAACCTAGAGGTTTGATTCCCGGTCAGGGCACATGCCTGGGTTGCAGGCTCAGTCCCTACGTGGGGGTGTGCAGGAGGCAGCCAATCAATGATTCTCTCTCATCATTGATGTTTCTATCTCTCGCTCCCTTCCTCTCTCTCTCTAAAAAAGCAATAAAAAGATTTTTAAAAATGAAAGAATTGGCCTCTTACGGGAACTTAAGTACATTTTCATATCAAGTAAACACTCCATTGGTTATGTCTAAGGTTCTGTTTTTATAGTGAGACTTTATTTTTTGTATCTAATTCTATCACAAAGTCATTAAGAAAATGTGGGAAGGTATAAAAGACAATCATATATGTAAAATTTAACAGAAATTGGGGCAGTCCCCTTAACATTGTATCTTTTTTAGTGAATGGTGTTTATTTTTAATGTTTTTTAAATTGATTTCAGAGGGAGAGAGAGAGAAACATCAATGATGAGAATCATTGATCAGCTGCCTCCTGCATGCCCCTCCTACCCCCACTGGGGATTGAGCCCAAAATCCGGACATGTGCCCTGACTGGGAATCGAACTGTGACCTCCTGGTTCATGGGTGGATGCTCAACCACTGAGCCACACTGGCCGGCATCAGTGAATGTCCTTTCATGAGCACTCCCTCAGTAAATTCTTTCAGAAAATGCCACTTGGAGAAGCTCAGAGCCGTTGGTCCGGGATGTGCCTGGTTCACGCGGTCCTTCCTCTGCCTGGCCGCCGGCCTGTGGCCCCGTTGTCACGGCTGTACGTGGTGATGGCCGTCCTCGTGTACGGCTGGTCACTCGCTGTGGACGAGCACGCTTTGGGGGCCGGAGCAGCGGCTCCCACGGCATCCTGTCTGTCCCGCTGCTCGCAGGTGACTGCAGGGATGACATGACCTGCGTGAAGGAAGAGATCTTCGGGCCCGTTATGTCCATTCTGTCGTTCGACACTGAGGCGGAGGTTCTGGAACGAGCCAACAACACCTCCTTTGGACTCGCCGCCGGCGTCTTCACCAGGTACGTGGGGAAGCCCCTCCCCCCCCCCCCCCCCCCCCCTGCCCGCTGGCTCTGGGCAGGTGGCTGGCTGCTCCGATGGGGCTGATCTGGCTCCCCCATCGGCATTTCCTGTAAAGTCAGAAGATGCCAAGTAGCACTGTGTATTTTGCCCTCCGTGGCCACAGCCCTGCTACGGAGCTGAATTGAGCTGCAAACTTGGTTGATGAGAATGCCACCTTCTTTATTGGCTTGTGAAATAAGTAGGAGGTACTGACCCCAGGGCCCCAAGCCCGAGTGTCCACGTCCAGGACTTGGGAAGCCTGTGGCGTGTCAGCGCTGGGCTGTGCTCCAGAACAGGGGTGCCGGCTGCAGTGACTCCTGCGGGGATGCCTGCAGCACGTGGGCTGTTTCCTGTCTGTGCACATGGGGGTGTTTCCAGGCTCAGCGCTGTGAGCCGTGTCGTGACCGATGTCCTTCCGTGTGAGCTTGAACCACCGCACTGAGAGTAAGAGGTGGTTTGGAAGCACAGTGTTTGCTTGATGATATGCAAACTGCATAGTTTTGGCAGTTATAGGCAGTTTTTTTTTTTTTTTTTTTTTTTGGTTTTATTTAAAGGGGCTCTAACAAAAAATCATCCTTTCCTCTTTAAAAATTTTTATTTCATTTATTTAAAAATTTTGTTTATTGATTTCAGAGAGGAAGGCAGAGGGAAAGAGAGATAGAAACATCGATGATGAGAGTCATTGATTGGCTGCCCCCTGCACACCTTACAATGGAGATCGGGCATGCCCCTGGGAATCGAACCCAGGACCCTTCAGTCCACAGGTCAGTGCTCTATCCACTGAGCCAAATCCACTAGGGCTACTTATTTATTGATTTTAGAGAGAGGAACGGGGGTGGGGGGGAATCAAGAGGAGCAGGAGAGAAGGAGAGAACAAGATCTGTGTGAGAGTGAAACGGATTGGTTGCCTCCTGTGTCCGCCCTGATGAAGGATTGAATCCGTATCCTGGGTGTGTGCCCTGACTGGGAATTGAGCAGCAACATTTGGGGTACGGGAGGATGCTCCAGCCAGCGGAGTCACCGGCCAGGGCTTTGGCAGTTTTCTAAGCCGGCGTCACACTTGGGATTTTTCTGTTTCTTTGGTGATAGACAAGGTTCTATTTTTTTGTCACTTTGTGGCCCGAACCTGGGAAGGAAGACACATCTCCCTGAGGACCTGAAGTAATGGCTTGCGCTCCGAGGAAGGGTTCGGGAGCTGCTGCTTTAAAAAACAGCCCTGGGCAGGTAGCTCAGCTGGTTAGAGCATGGTCCCCACCACCAAGGTTGCAGGTTCAATCCCTGGGCAGGGCACATACAAGAATGAACCAATGAATGCATAAATAAGTGGGACAGCAAATTGATCTTCTATCTCTCCCTCCACCTTCCTCTCTCTAAAATCAATAAATAAATTAAAAAAAAAAACACCACCAAAACAAACAACAGCCCTGGCTGGTTTGGCTCAGTGGATAGAGCATCTTTGGCCTGTAAAGGGTCTTGGGTTCAGTTTCAGGCAGGAGCATATGCCTTGATTGCAGACTCTTCCCTGGCCTGGGACCTGGTTGGGGCTCATGCAGGAAGCAACCAATTAAAGTGTTTCTCTCACACCAGTGTTTCTCTCTGTCCCTCCCTCCCTGTCACTCTCTCTACAAATCAGTGGAAAACATCCTCGGATGAGGATTAACCAAAACCAAAACAAACAAAAACAATCAAGCCAACAAAAACAGTGGTTTCCAGAGTGATTTTAGGTTTCCCGCGATAGTGAGGGGGTACAGGTTTCCCATCCGCCTCGGCCCCACATGCACAGCTTCCTTCATATCTGCAGGCGGTCCATTTGTTATAACGAGCCTGTGTGACTGTGTCATCGCCCCATCCTACAGTTCACCTTGGGCTCCCTCTGGGCGGCACCCCTGTGGGTGTGGACAAAGGGCAGTGACCGGGCCCCGTGGGGCAGCATATGGAGCAGTGCCCCGTTGTGACGGCCGCTGTGAGCCAGCTGTGCTGGGACTGCATCGAGGGGCTGTCTTGCTGCCTACGCCTTTGACAGCTCGATGGGGTCACTCCCGGGCTGAACAGCTCACTCGCATAAAGTGCGCCCCGAGTGGCTCAGCTATTCACAGAGCTGTGCAGCGTCACCATAGCCCAATGTCAGGACGTTCCCATCAGCTCAGGACAGCAAGGCGAGCTGACTGTCCCACCTCCAGCCCGGCAGGTCTTCCTGTCTCCAGGCTGCTTGCTCTGAGTGTTTTCTGTAAGTGGGACCATACGCTTCAGCTCTCACTGACCTCATGTTTCCAAGGGTGTCCGCCCTGCTCCCCTTCACCCCCAGGAATTGCCGTGCGGTCTCTTCGCTCCGCGTTGGCGGCATGTGGTGCCTGAACTGCGGCTGCTATGAGCGGTGGGGAGCGTCTGCATGTTAAGGTGAGGCTGCAGGCTAAGCCATGTCTTCCCTGCAGGGACCTCCAGCGCGCTCACCGTGTGGTGGCCGAGCTGCAGGCCGGCGTGTGCTACATCAACAACTACAATGTCAGCCCCGTGGAGCTGCCCTTCGGCGGCTACAAGAAGTCCGGTGAGCGCTGTGGGGGGCGGGGAGGTTGGTGGGGGGACAGGCCACCAGGTCTCCAGGGGGACTGCCCTCATTGGTCCTTGTCGACCAGGCTCCCAGCCTGTCGGCATGGTCACCACTCAGGGTCGGGTGCCTGCTGCCGGCTGATGTGCATCTCGGGAGGTCTGTCATTTGGGAGAGTTACTTTTCCTCTCGGCTGTGAGCGCCGTATTTATGGCCACCTCAGAGCTGGCTGACGTAGGAACCCGGTGCCAGCTGGTGAAGCAGAGAGTGTTAATCTGACAATGTGATTCGGTCTCTCCCTGGCGTTCCCTAATCACAGTTCATAGTCATCTCCCTCCCTCTGGGGCCAGCCAGGTGGGACACACAGGCCAGGCGCAGAGCCGGGAAGGGCTGTTTGTTCCTGTGTAACTGTCAGTGCTGGGGAGTGAGTTTGTGACCTCGGCTACGTCTCATGGGTCCTCCCAGGCCGCCGTTCCCTTCCCGTCTGCGGCTTTGGAGTGGGGCCCACAGACGTGGCACGGGCATATCCACGGGGTGAGGGGGAGACGGAGGATGGCCAGCTCTGCTCAGGATTAGCAGAGGGCTGGCTGGGCCTCTGTCACCTCTGAATGGTGCCCCTTGAGACATGCATTTTTGGGACTGGGCCTTGCCCCTAGGAGGCGAGCCTACCTAGGTCTGGGCAGGCTGATAGGAAAGGCCAAGCAGGGAACACTGGTCCCCTTCCGCACAGAGCCTGGTCCCCGGCTGCTGGCCAGGTCACTCCCCACGCTCGCTCGCAGCTGGTGTGCCAGGGAAGGGGTTTCTTTCTAAGAAACGTGCTGCCTCTGTGTTCCTCCGCAGGCTGAGGGCAGGCCTGTCTCCAACGGTCACTGACCTTTGGGCTCATCGTCCTCCCTTGTCTTCCTTGCAGGGTTTGGCAGAGAGAACGGCCGGGTGACCATTGAGTATTACTCACAGCTGAAGACCGTGTGTGTGGAGATGGGCGACGTGGAGTCTGCTTTCTGAGAGCCGGCTGTGAACCCCGTGGACGTGCCAGGCTGAGCCGTGAGACCGGGGGAGGCCTCGCAGGGCATCAGTGCGACCCAGACGCGGTCTCGTGGGTCCACGCCTGGCTCAGCGTCACTCTCGTCACTCAGGCGTCTTCCCTGAGGGTGCACAAGTGCCTTGGTTCTATGGAGAAGCGGTGAGTGCCCGCAGTGCAGACTCCAGTGCCATCCTGAACCGCCCAAACCCCTTCTGGAGACGGACCAGGCCAGGCCTCCGAGCCCTGCCCTCTGCCGTCTCTCACTTGCCTTAAGCTCTGGCTCCTCTTCCTTCTGCAGAGAGCTGATGGTCGGGAAGGGAGGGGACCAGACACTGGGCGGGTCTCACAGAGAAAGGTTTTGTTTCTGTGGACTGCGGGAGAGGACACGTCCTCTGCTTTGACCTCCAGCTTGCTGTCTGGATGCAGCAGTTTCTTCTTTCTTTCTTCCTTTTTTTTTTTTTGTCCATACACATTATTTTATTTTATTTTATTTTGCCTTTGAAATTGTCTTTATTGTCAGGATTCACTCCCACACAAGATGCTTAAGCCCCAATTCTGCCCCCACCCCACGCAAATGAGATTCATGTTTCTGATGGTAGGACACATTGCCTTTGAGGTCCCATGAACTTCCCATTTTTGACCCTGCAACCCTTTACCCAGGCTGTGTCCCACCCTTTCCCCATTCCCACTGAGCATGAACCTGAAACACGGGGTGGCCCCTGTATAGTGCCCGCAGGTCCGAGGTTTCACCTTCCAAAGGCCCAGAAAGCAGCTCAGGTGCACCCACTGAGCAGAGTCATTAATGGGCACAGAACAGGCTCCCTAGCAAGAATATGTCACATCATAATATTCTCTGTAGCCACTGTGCTTGGCGGCAAGCAGGATTGCCCTGGGCTGTCCTAACTCCCTCAGTATTCCCCTCAGCTCAGCCCGGACCAGGGCAAGTCTCTCCTGGTTGACAGTGCCCTGGCTTGTGTAACACTCCAGGGGGACGGGGTACACCTCCGTCTCTAGGCTGCGCAGCCTGGCTGGGTGGTGCAGGAGCTTCTCCACGGTGGCCAGGGACAGGCGGTTCTCAGAGATGGCGAAGAAACAGCTGGTGATAGCCGCTCAGGAGCAGCAGTTTCTGTTAAATGTAAAATTATTTGCCAAATAACTGCACTAGAGCCGAATAAATCACACTGTTCATTCTTCCAGTGTCGTGTTTTGAAATGAAACAACTCTCAAGGTCACTTAGGACGTGGGATGGGCTGACGTGAAACACCTGTAATAGCTCCTAGGCCCTGTGTGCCAGGGGCTCTGTGTGCCTCCCACCTGGGAGAGCTGTCAGGTCCTGGTGACCTCACACTGTGGGGTCCCCTTTGCTGGGACCTACATGGCTATGGTTCAGGATCTGAAGGAGGGGCCAACGCACAAATGAAAATGCTATACAAAAAATATGAATTTAGAAGGCATTGGAGGCCAGGTGGAGCCTCTTTCTTGAAGAGACACACTGACTTTCTGGCCTGGTCCACCTTTTATTTACTTGAATACACATTTTTCCTTTAGCAATGCATACAAGCATATAAAAGGGAAAGTTTGGTAAACAGTAAAAGGATTATTAGGTTAGGGAATTGCCTTGAGCCATTGAGCCCACAGGAGGGCAATATTATGCTGATTTTCAGCCCTGATGAATATCAAAGTCCATTTGCCTTCCAATGTTTTCTTTTTGCATTAACATGCTAACTGCTCTTGGCTAAATTTAGCCTCCAGCATTTCCCCCTTTTTGTTTTAATAAATCTTGAATGGTGTATACTGACTGTCTGCAGGGCTGGAGTCTTTTTAAGACTTCATTCCCCATCTGCGGACACACAGCTGATGGCTGCTAGCTCGGCAAGAGAAACACCCTCGGGTTCTCGGGGCTCTTGTTTCCTCACAAACTGGCTCAGCTTTCTGGATTGTTCTTCACTATCCCTCAGGTCATCGCCAGATTGTTTGTCATCTCTCTCATTCTACTCCCATTCCTTATCTTCAGCATGTTGCTTGGGGCTACTGTCCTCCGCCTGGTTGAGGCTTCAGGTGCAAGGTCCTCATTAGTTTGGTCAGCTTCTTCTGTGGCTCCAGTTTGGAGTTTGGTGTTCCTTACAGGAACCCACATGGGTTTGGAGAAGTTTTCTGGAAATACACAAACTTATTCTGGACCAAAGGTTAATAAAGGGTTGTGACCTTTCCATAAACCAGACTCAGGATCCTTCCATTTGATCAAGACTTTTTTCTTTTGGCTTATTATGACATCAGTGTAATTTTATTGGTGTCTTGCCATCAGCATTACAAGTGAAAAACTTTAAAGTAATTAAGGCCTGGTGTAGTCTATCTACAGGAGATTTCTCCGGCATTCCTATTCCCCATTTTGTTTTTCAAGTTGGGATTTTAGCTGCTGATGTTGGCGTTCTATAATTGCCTGTCTTGGGAATTTTATGGTATTCCCATAATGTGCCTGTTGTAATAAAGTATGCATTTCCTTTTGTTGAAGGACCAGGCAGGGTGGGATGAGCCCTGATATTTATAATAATAAAAGCATAATATGCTAATTAGACCAGACAGCCGAATGACATTCTGGACGTCCTTCTAGATGATGCTAGAGGCAGGGGCTGTTAGGAGCGATCAGGCAGGCAGAGGCAGTTAAGGGTGATCAGGTAGGCAGGTGAGCAGATAGGGGTTTTTAGACAGGCAGGTGAGTGGTTAGGGCCAATCAAGCAGACATGCAGAGTGGCTAGGGGCAATCAGGCAGCAGGCAGAGTAGCTAGGGGTGATCAGTCAGGCAGCAGAGTGTTTAGGGCAAATCAGGCAGGCAGGCAAATGGTTAGAAGCTAGCGGTCCTGGCTTGTGAAAGGGAGATCCAATTGTGGGTTTAGGCCTGATCCTAAACCAGCAGTCGGACATCCCCTGAGGGGTTCCGGATTGCAAGAGGGTGCAGGCATAAATTTCATGCACTGGGCCTCTAGTGAGTAATATAAAAGGGACATTGTCTTTACTGTACAACTTGCTGTGCCTGTTTAAATAGTAAAAATAGACTTTGGTCACTGAGCTGTTTTAATCGAGCAGACTTAATTCTGTTTACCAGGCCAGCAGTATAGGCAGAATCAGAAATAACATTGAGAGGCTCCTGGAAATTCTGCAATATAGCTTTGATAGCTTCTAATTCAGTTCTTTGCACAGCAGGGCGACTGTCTGGATGACTCGGTCTGAATTCATTATATGATAAGCAGCTTTACCATTAGATGGACCATTAGTAAGAACAGGTAATGCTCCAGGAATAGGTTCCTGTAACTGAGGTACTTGCCTTTGACCAGAACTGAACATGGGACCCTTCCCTTTGCAGGCCGATGCTAGGATAATGATAATTATTTTAATCCTCACCCGAGGACATGCTTGGAGGGAGGGAGGGAGAGAGAAACAGCTATCGGTTGCCTTCTGTACTCACCCCAACCGAGGACCAAACCCAAAAGTTTGGCTCAATGGATAGAGCCTCGGCTTGGGGACTGAAGGGACCCGGGTTCGATTCCGGTCAAGGGCATGTACCTTGGTTGTGGGCACATCCCCAGTAGGGGGTGTGCAAGAGGCAGCTGATCGATGACTCTCTCATCGATGTTTCTAACTCTCTATCTCTCTCCCTTCCTCTCTGTACAAAATCAATAAAATATATATTTAAAAAAAAAAAAAAATCGTGCCCTGACTGGGAATCGGACCCTCAGTGCACAGGACGATTCTCTGCCACAGGAGCCTCTCGGCCTGGCCTTCAGGAGAGATTCTGAAGAATCCTCATTGTTTCCTGTGTAGCGGTAATCTCAGATCCTAACCAGAACCTAACTGTCCTGACCGTCTGGTCATTAAGCTCTCGGTGTCCCACCGTGTACAGCATGGACTCTGGAAACGGGCACCTCTTCAACTGCACCCTTCCTCTCTGAGCCCCGTTTTCACAGCTGCCACATAATGAGACATCCTTCCACCCCCCTACAGCAGCCCCGCCGGCAGGGGGCAGGGGGCAGGGGGCAGGGGGCAGGGACAGGAGTAGGAACAGGCCGCTTATTTACATAAAGATTCAACAGGAAATAAGTCACAGAGTCAGGGTTACTTAGGAGGCTGGTGCCAGATAAATTTTATTATATTTAGAAAAAAAAAGTAACTGGAAATAAAAGGAAGTCATTCAAAATGAATGAGTTTTTAACACCCTACCCACCCTTAGTGGCAGCACTTGGACCCCAAGCCAGTTTTCACCCATCCGAGGTGCTGGAAGGCGGAGCACACAGTGGTGCCCATCAGGCCGAGGAGGGCGATGGAGCCCAGGGCCCCCCGGTTCCGTTTGCTGGGCTCTGGGGGGAAGGGAGAGAAGAAGAGCGGACATTACCGGCAGCTCCGCAGGGACAGCCATTGGCACCCGTGAGCCCGTCCCTCCAGGCGGCAGGCGCCTGGTCAGAGGCCAGCCCGCCTCACGCAGCGCCCTGCGTCACGCCAGGGCTGCGTGGGCCCCAGCAGCCGGGCCAGCACTAGCTCTGGTGCTGGGTCCTGGACCTCTGTTCTTCCGACTGGCAAGTTACAGGACAATCAGACTTGCGAGGCCCATACGTGAGCCGACTCCCCCTTCTTTAAAGAGGTGAGGGCGGCAGAAACTCTCCCCTCGGTCTGTCCGCCCCCAGTGGCGAGGAGCAAGGCCCAGAGTCACTGCCTGGCTCCGAGTCCTGGCTCACAGTTTCCACCTCGTAGCTCTGTGACCTAGAGAGTGTCTTAATCTTTCCAAGCCTCAGTGTCCCCATGGGTGAGAGAAGATGCTATTTTAAAGTGAGTAAAAAGAAAGACGGGAACAGACCTTTCACCTAACCCTCCGGTCCCACCCCCTTTCCTTCAAGTCCTGCTAAGAAGGGAACCGGCCTCAGATTCACACTTTGCTTCCCTGGCGGGAGCCGTGCTCTTACCCCCCGTGTAGTAGCCGTAGGCATAGAGAACGCGTCCCACGATCCAGGCCATGCCCAGGCCCGAGACGACTCGCTGAAAAAAAAAAAGGGGAGCATGTTAGTGTTTGCATTCAATAGGCAGAGCTGTGCTGACATCTAGTGTTGATCACACAACGTTTTAGCAAAAAGCTAATCATGTCACTTGTGCCATGAGCTGCGGATGTGCTGATCTGGCAGCTGGTGCGGACCAGAGGCTGTGGGGACGCCTGCACTCAGGCAGAACTCAGGCAAGAGGACACTTTCTGGCCGAAACCGGTGTGGCTCGTGGATAGAGCGTCGGTCTGCGGACTGGAAGGTCCCAGGTTTGATTCCGGGCATGTACGTTGGTTACAGACACATCCCCGGTAAGGGGCGTGCAGGAGACAGCTGATGGATGTTTCTCTCTCATTGATGTTTCTAGGTCTCTATCCCTCTCCCTTTCTCTCTGTGAAAAATCAATAAAATATATTTAAAAAAAGAAAAGAAAAGAAAGAAACACACCTTAAAAGCACTAAAAAAAAAAAAAAAAAGACACTTTCTGGCCACAGCAGGGCCAAAGGCACGTAATTGGGCTCAGGAAACCCGCCTGATTGACACAGGCAGAGAGCAGACCAGCCCCACAGTCCACGGGGCACCCCTAATGGACCACGTCAGACACTGGGTGCCTGCAGGTCAGGGCCCTGAGACCAGGGTCAGCTGGTTGTTTCACTGCCGTTATCTAGGCGGTCAGTGAGTGTTGGTTGCAGGAAGGAATGAACACGCAAAGTAAAACACGCATGGACATGAGCCTAAGAGAGTTAGGCCTGGGTTCAGGTTCTGACTCTTCTATCCCGTAGCTAATTGACTGAGAAGCTTACACATATCCAGGATGTTTCCCCTCATCTGTGAAAAAACAAACAAAACCCACAAGGGGAAAGTCTGCCGCTTTAAAGAACTCCGTTAACACAGACAACAGGGTGGCGAAGGCCTGGGGCAGGTGTGTGTGTGTGTGTGTGGGGGGGGGAGGGAGTGCGGGGTGCGCTGAAGAGGGTCAGTGGGAAAAAGGGGACATATCTAATGCTTTCAACAATAAAGATTCAAAAAACACCACAGTTCTGCCCAGTGGATGTGGCTCATGGCTGAGGAACCAAGAGGTCACCAGTTTGATTCCCGGCTAGGGCACATGCCCAGGTTGTGGGCTTCATCCCCAGGAGGCAGCCCATGAACGATCCTCTCTCATCATTGATGTTCCTCTCTTTCTCTCCCTCTCCTTCCTCTCTGAAATCAAGAAGAAGATATTTAAAAATTCAACAACACAAAAACTCTGTTAGAAGCAACTGACTGAATAAATAAACACACAGGGCCTGGAGGAAACACATCGGATCCCAGATGACACCCCGGGATCAACTCACCGGGTGGTACACACCCCCCACAGCGAGGAAAAATAAGAAGGGGGGGTACACTTCCAACCTGCAAGAGAAGAGAGAGGTTTTAAAAGCGCCCGGTGTAAACACGGTCAGAGGGGCAGCAGGGGGCGCCGTCTGACCAGCTGCAGGGGCGGGTGGTGCCTTTGAACACCAGGAGAGAAACGTTGGTTAGGGGGCGGGGGCGGGGCCCTCACTCCCTGGGCTGGGGGACTCAGTATCCCCCAGAGCAGCGGCCACACCTCCCTCAGGGGGCGCGGCACGGGAGCCGCCTTGGAGGGGTCACCCAGGACGCCACCATCCCAACTTTTCATTGTGCTTACGGTCCCACCTGCTCACGGCGGGCTTTTAAATGACACTGTTAGCGAGCGCCGTGATCACCACCGCCCTCTTACAGACAGGGCGCGCTATGGGCGGGTGCCGGCCAGGGGTGGCTGTCCCCCCCCCCTCCCCGGGCGTCAGTGCCGAGGCCCACGCTCACGTGTTCTGGTGTGCTCGCTGGATGCAGTTGAAGAGGTGCCCGTTTTCAGGGTCCGTGCTGTACATGGTGGGATACTGCGGACACAGAGGGCTTGCTCATCAGACGGTCAAGACAGTTAACACGAAGCCGGACGCTAATCTAGCCTAAGGTCTACGTCGGCTTAAACATCGCAGTGACCAGGCCGGGTTCTCAGGGGCAGGGCCACTCGGCTGTTCATTCCCAGGAGAAAGGGAGGGCAGCTGTGCCTCAGCCATCGCCGCCGGTGTCTGACACACTGCAGACACCACGGGAACACCCTCCCCTCAGCCTCTGGGGACCCACGAGGCGGCGGGAACAGGAGAGTTCTGACGGCCCTCCGTTAGAGCCAAGGAGAGAAACTAGGTGCTAGGATGAGTTCGGAGTCCAGTGATGAGTCACTAAACAGAACCACTCCCAGGCCAACGGCAGCAGCCAGCCCTCTGGACCGGGCAGAGGGAACGGGGATCTGATGGGTCCCCTGCTGGTCCGGTGGCCTGGGGGTGCCACACCGGGAAACATCCCCTTCCCGGCGAGCAGCTCGGCCCGGCAGGCTGTCCCCTGCCAGCGCCCCTGGCCTCTCTGCAGGAGGCGCCTTCCTGCTGGGCAGGGGCAGTCTCTCTACGAGGCCCGGTGGACACTGCCGCCACTGACCATGCGCCTCGCCCAGACCCTGTTCCCACTCACCTCCACCTTGTACTTCTTGCGGGCCTTGGCGACGTTGAAGGCGAGGTGCATCACCAGGACGAAGCTGGCGGCCCCGGTCAGGACCACGAACCCATACTCCTTGGAGAGGACGGCCATCTCGGCTCTGCGGAGAAACGGGGCACCAGCCTGTGGCGTGCGCGGCAGGAGCGGCGCACCCCTGCGGGCACAGGGCGAGGCGCCGCCCGGGGGAGGCGGCTGGAGACACTGTGTATTCAGAACCTAAAACAGACCGTCCGCGGCATTATCGTCCTCTCCCTCGTGCTGGGTTCTCCATCAGCCTGGCATCAGGAGCCGAGTCTGACCTCTGAGCTGCTCGCCAGGGCCGCCTCCCGCTCCCTCCAGGATGGACCAGGGGGAAGGGCTGTCTCCAGGAGGTGCCCGTTCTCAGGGTCACTCCGGCCACACCTCCTGGCTCTCAGGAGGTTGGAGGGCGAGGGGACAGGCTGCCCTCCCAGCTTGCCCACCCCTCTCTCTTCTAGAATGAGCCAAAGTGCGGAGAGTCAGCTCCGTAGTTGTTAGAACAAAATACGGGCTGGATTCTGAGCACCTCTCAGAACGAACGCTCCCGTCTGCCCCATATCCCTGGGCTGCCAGGCCGGTTAAAGAAAGTTGTCTCTGTCAAACAGTGAAACCAGCACATTGGGTTTAGGTCAAAGTTTGCAAGTCGACAGTCGGCTTCCAGACCCAAACTTTTGGGCCGAGCGCCGGGCTCCGGGCAATGGGCCACCGGGTGCCAGGCCGCACCTTCAGCTCATGGTCACTCTCCCCAGCCACCGGCGCCAGGCTACACTGAGGCAGGGAGGCGCCGCGAGGAGGGCAGAGTCAAGACCCGAGAGGCCTAAGAATCCCTCCCAGCCCCCGAGCAGCTGGGTCAGCACTAGCTCTGGTGCTGGGTCCTGGGCCTCTGTTCTTCCGACTGGCAAGGACTTGGGTAGAAGCAGGTGGCAGGACTGAGCAAGTGCTCAGGAAGCTGCAGTTAGAATGGAGCATGGACGACAGGCTCCTCTTCCAGAGCAGAAGTGCAGTCTGGGATTAGACCCTGGGCCACCACTCCCCCGGCGCTTTGCTAAGGTGACACTGGTGGTTGCAAAGGGCTGCAGTCGGCGGGCATGGGAGTGTTGCCCTCCCCGAGGCGCCCCCTGCAGGAGCCGCAGACACCTGGTCAGGTGCAGGAGCACAGCACCCAGCCAGGGAGGAGTCCTGCTCCCTCGCCAGGACAGCCAGCATGCCCGTGGCTGGGATCCTGCCAACAGAGCCTCTGGGGTCGCCACAAAGCTCCCTGGAGGGAGTCTGGCCAAGCACCGGCTGTGTGCTGAGAGACAGATCCCTGTGGGATCGAGGCCACTCCGGTACTTTCAGGAACGGCCCCTCCAGCTGAGATAATGCCCGCCACCTGGCACAGTCCTGGAGTCCAGCATGCACGGTCCGTTACAGTCCCTTCCCTGCAGACCACCCAGAGACACTATGGGGGCGGCTGGCTGCCTGGCTCCTTGGGCAGGAGGGCAGAACCCAGGCAAATAGGCACCGCTGCCGCTGAAAGCAAATGCAGGGATTGAGTCACTTTAAGGAGGGAACCAGCTTAGCTCCCTCAGGGTGCAAACGCCTTAGTCATTTGCTGAATTCTTTTTTCAGAGGAATCCAGGGCCAAGAGAGGGACTTAGAGATCGGCCTTGGTGGTTCAGGCCCCGTGTGTGTTGGGATGGGAGGCAGCTCAGCTCCCAGCCGCACCCACGCCCCGCCCGCCAGGGCCAGCAGATAGCTGGGGCAGAGTTCCTGGAGCTGATAACTGGCTGGTGTGAGCACACTGCGGGCGGGTGGCATGCCGCTGCTCTGTGTCACCAGCAACCCTTCCACCCACTCAGCATGATAAGGCCGGGCGGCAACTCCTTCTCCGGGGGCTGGACACACAGCCAGTCCAATGGTCTGTTCCCAGCTCAGCTTCATGGCCGCGAGGAACACTGCAACTTGCTTGTTTGTTAATCATCTTGCAGTGTTTAAGGTTTAAAGTTTGTGATCTGTATAAATAAGAGTGCATTTAGGTACATACAGGGTGAGTCAAAAGCAGGCTTACAGCTATTAGTATGGAAAATGATAAAATAATTAATGAATAATAATACAAGAATAAACAATGTTTCTCGAACTCACAACTGTAACCCTACTTTGTGCTGTCCTGTATCTGGTCTGTGCGTCATGGGGGGATGGGGGAAAGAGGGGCAAGGTGTGGTCACTGGAACAGCCTGAGATAGGCTGGCAATACTTCTGCATTATTCTAACTCATTCATCCCACGGGAATCTGTTTGGTTCAAAGACACCACCTCAGTTCTACTTGATATTGCAAACCCAGACCTGGTACAGATGTCCAAGACAACAGGACTAACTGGATAACACACCCATAAAACACACTGCTGGACAACCATTAAAAATGGCCCTGAGGAGAAACCAAGATGGCGGTATAGGGTAGACACCTAATTGCAGCCTACCACAACAATTTTAAATTTTCAACTGGAGGACAGAGGAAACATTGCCCTGAAACACCAGACAGCTGGCTGAGTGGAGGCTCTACCATCTGGGAAGGGGAGAGCAGGGATGCTGAGCCTCAGGAACTGTGAAGGTGCGGAGAACCGTGCACGTGGAAGAGGCGGCCGCCAAGTTCGCTGCTGGCTTGCTCGCGGCACCCAGAGAGGGCGGGCCGAGTTCGCTGCTGGCTTACTCCAGGCACGCGGAGAGGACAGACAGCTAACGTGCGGCTGGTTTTGTTTTGGAGGAAAACAGAGACACCCTGTTGCTCAGATAGACAGCCCCAGTCAGGGAGAGTCAAGACTGTCAGGCAGTGGGCAAGGCTCTCTCAGAGGTGTGTGAAGCCTGAAGCCATTACTGAGGGACTCAGGAACTGGATCCTCGTAGGGAGGGACTGGTGGGAAACCAAAGCTTGTCTGCACCACCCCAAGACTCCGCCCCATCCAAGCAGAATACAGAAGCCCTCCAGGAGGCTGGCTTTCTCGTTCAGGAGGAAAAAAAAATATACCAACTGCACTGAGAGACAACTCTGAGCTGGGAAAAAACTGGCTGTCAGGGAGCAGACAAAACTCAAGAACAGCCTTTACCTAAGTGGTGCGTGCGCCTGCAACCATTCTTGTGGGTCTCGCTGCAAAAAGGACTTTCCTAAGGTAGGACTGACGGGGAACCAAAACTTGTCTGTGCCACCCTGAGACTCCGCCCCATCCAAGCGGAACACAGAAGTCCTCCTAACTGAGACACTGCTGATCCTCACAGCCAGTTGGCTTGGAGATCAACGCTTCCCAATGATACCAACAATAAGCAAGGCTTAACAACAAGACTGCACACACAGCCCACAAAGGGCTACACCAAAACTATCCACCTCAGGTAACTGGGAAGGCTGTGCTACTGGGCTCTACCAGAACACATAGCACACAAAACTATTCCATCAAATCAGGGGAGATGCTAAAATTCAGAGAAGAGGCAGGGCACAAAGGAAGGAGGTGGAGGATAGTAAAAGAATGGACATTGAGTTCAAAACTACAGTTATAAGGTTTTTCAAGAATTTCCTAGAAAAGGCCGATAAAATAAATGAGACCTATAAGGATATGAAAAGGGATCAAATAAAGAATACATTGTCTGAAATAAAAAAAATATTATACAGAGTCCTAAAAACACTGAAGATTGCAAGAATGAAGTCAAAGATTTGGAACACAAAGAGCCAGAGGACACTCCTCCGCAGAAGCAAGAAGACAAGAGAATCCAGAAAGTTGAAGATAATGTAAGAAACCTCTGGGAATTCAAGCGAACCAACATCGGAATTATGGGGGTCCCAGAAGAAGAGAGAGCAAGATACCGAAAGCCTATTGGAAGAAATAGTGACAGAAAACTTCCCCACCTGGTGAAAGAATTAGACTTACTGTATTTTCCGGTGTATAAGACGACCCCCTAATTTTACAGTTAAAACAAGTTTAGGCCTATATTCGTTGTATAAGACTATCCCCCACTTCAAAGAAAGGACTTATTTTGCTGTCAAAATCTGCAGGTAATTTTTGTGCAATTTTGGCCTTTTGCCCCCGATTTTCGGTTGACTTTTTTTCGTTTCAAAAGTCGTCTTATACGCCGGAAAATACGGTATAAGTCCAGGAAGCGCACAGAACCCCAAACAAAAGGAATCCAAAGAGGACCACACCAAGACACATCATAATTAAAATTCCAAGAGCAAAAAACAAAGAGAAAATATTAAAAGCAGCAAGAGAAAAGCAGGTAGTTACCTATAAAGGAGCACCCATACAATTGTCAAGGTGATGAATAGCAAGAACCTACAGCCAAAAATACTCTACCCAGCAAAGCTATCACTCAGAATTGAAGGCCAGATAAAGAGCTTCACTAATAAAAAAAAAAAGCTAAAGGAGTTCATCACCGCCAAACCAGAATTATATGAATTGCTGAAGGGGGTTCTTTAGGAAGAGGAAGAAGATAAAGATAAAAATTATGAACAACAAATACGTAACTATCAACAAGTGAAACTAAAAACTAAGAAAATTAAAAAATCTGATGAACAATATTAACTGTTGAATATAATAGAATCAGAGGTATGGAAGGGGAGTGGACTGACAATTCTAGGGGAAAAGGAGAGTAGGGGGTGAGGGAAGAGACTGAACAAAAACTGTGCACCTATGGATGAGGACAGTGGGGGGTGGAGAAAGGGCAGAGGGTGGTGTGGGAACCTGTGGAGGGGAGCAATGCAGGGAGTAAAAAAAGAGGAACATTTGTAATAATCTGAACAATAAAGATTTAAAAAATAAAATAAAATTATATATATAAATAAAATGGGCCTAACCGGTGTGGCTCAGTGGATAGAGCGTCAGCCTGCAGAATGAAGGATCTCAGGTTCGATTCCGGTTAAGAGCATGTATGTCGGTTGCAGGCTCCTCCCTTGCCCAGGCCTGTTTGGGGCTCTTGCAGGAGGCAACCAACCAATGTGTCTCTCTCACATCGATGTCTTTCCCTCTCTCTTCTACTCTCCCTAAAAATCAATAGAAAAATATCCTCAAGGGAGGATTAAAAATAACTATCGTAAGAATGGCCTGACAGGG